CATGGATGTCTTAGAGTGTAGTTGCTAACTCTTTCCATAACACACTGATTATACATATGTGCCTCCTTGCCTGATTTCATGTTCAGACATTCTTACACACATTATTTCATCTAAGCTTATGTCTTTGTCAGCATTTGTTCATAAATGGTCTTCACAATGTCTCCTTTGTACAACTGTTCCTGTAGCTATCGCTTTTGTAGCCATCAAATCTGATTTTATCATTCTCCTGTGTTTTCCAGACAGTATATCCACGTGAGTCCCTGAAATAAGACCTATTAATTGTAAGCTGTCGTCTTTGTAGTTGTGTGTGGTTTCTTTTTTTTCTTTAAAGCGTTTTATGCTTTATCAGAAAGTTAGATTCAGTCCAAACAAACATTCTTCTGTCCACTTGTAAACTGCATTTCCTGAATTATTACATGCTGGTTCCATATAATTTTTTTTTTAAATTTAACCAGAGGAATAAGTTATTTGTATAAACTATTTAGAAACACACAAATCTAACAAAAAATACTTTTTTTTAATGTACAAGAGCTGTTCAGTTTACTAGCATTCCTTTTGTGTTTAGAATTGAGTAGAAAAATAATTATTGTTGATGTTGAGTTTTCTGCAGCATGAGCAAAGATGATTTCACCTGTTGTAAAGCCATTTTACAAATACTGAGCTGTAGTCAAAAAGGATTAGGAGTAAGTAATCTTGCCATGGCCTACGGCTGCCATCTTGGAAGTTGTTATTGTAGTCAGTTATTGGGAAAGTCTCACAAACAAGTGACACATTTGTTTATAAACTCTGAATGCCAGAAGAGCGTCGCAAGATTTGTCGAAAAAATGGCTTTTGCCAGATTTGTGCTGAATTCTTGACCATTGACAAAAATGTTCAAGTTATGAATAAGATTTCACGTCGTGATCAGTATTGAGTATATGATGCCAGCTTTAAGAAGCCATTTGGCACTTGTTGACTACTTTTACTTCTCAACAAATTTCTCAAAAACCCACATGAGGTTGGGTTGATTCGGGAGCCATAAGTTTTCTATATCTCTACATACAAGAGGGTGACCATTGGACCAGGAGACAAGCATGCTAGTCCCAGTAACTTCTTCACATAACAGACAGCTTACAAGTTATTTTAAGGCAGTAGAAGAAGACATTCCTAAGATCCATTTTATTATTGTTAATGTATTTTCCCTCCACCATAAAACCTATGCCTGCAAAATTGTAGAATCAATGTTATGATTGCAATGTGTCAGCTCTTGCTGGACAGGTTACAAATAGGAAAATTATAACATATGTTACAAATATTATCATTTAGTTTATTTTGGTATTCTGTCATTTAGGAACTGTGCCACAAACGGTTATTTTCCTTATGCAAATACTTGTCTGCAGTTACGTTTAATTGTTGCAGTTTATGAATAGCAATTATAGATGTTGTCAGCTAAGAACAAATAGGCCGAGTGTGAAAATATTACCAGAGGCAGCAGTTATCAGTGTGAGCACTTTTTTTTTCCCTGTCCGTTGTTCAGTGAGGCTTCGAATCTAGGACACTGAGGCCAGCAACAAAATGTCTGACTACTGCATTACTGCTCTGCTGTCAAATGTAATGGTGACATTCATCCAGAAATATGGAAAGCCACAGAATATTTTACTTGAAAAGAAAAATGATGAGAAGGTAGGAGTGATAACATTTGTACTTGTACTCTGCTGCTGTCATTTTCTGTGAATTTGACAAATATTTGCATACTTTTGGTTTTAGAGAGAATGTACACATTTAATATTTATGTAAAGTACATCATGACCTATGCAGTTAAATGAAGCAAGTGTTTCAGTGGTTGTTTCAGAAAGGAATCTCAGTATTGTAGGCTGTCACCTACACAAATAAGGAAAAAAATCTAGCAGTTCTGCCAGAGAAAGTAGTTAAGTAGTGTATGCATGTGAGAGAGGAGAGATGGAGAGCCAACCACCTCTCTACAATATCAGTCATCCAGTTTCACTGCCTAGGCCTGAATTGTGTGACCTCATGCACGGAATCATCACTGAGCTTTCATAAATTGAAATTTCACTTAGCCTGTAGTGCACATTATAATTTTCATCAGAAAATAAAGTTTTTTTTTAAAAAAGACTTTGCTCCACATTTAGAAATGTTTAAAAAAAGTGGTTTTAGGGCAGACAGTTTGGGTGTCTATTAAATATGATTGACCATAGTGACAGTACTAGCCATGCGGCCCTACATCCTCAGGCACTGAATCCCCACAGCTCTAAAATGTGGTGCATACAGACAGTTAAGTTAGTTGCTTGTCCTTTGCAGGACATTGCAGAACCAACCCCAGCATTGTTTAGCTGTTGTGGTTTTTCTAGGCAAGTTTACGTCCAGTAGTTTGCCGTTGCTTTCTGGACATACGGACAGTAGTGACATTTTTTTTTTTTTACATTTGATTTATCACCTGGAAACTTTTACTGTGCAAGGCTACAGGGAACACACGGCACATTCTTTTAGTTGTTCATTCAAGTTGACAACAAAGATTTTTGTATGATGTAGTTGATGTATTAAATACCTTTTCTAGTCAGCTGTATGTTGCTTTTGTTGGTTTCTGTAGCTGTTGACAATGTTTGTATGATCTCAGATGTTGTTGACCTTACAGATGCTCATTGTTGCTGCTGCACCCTGTTACCTGACCCTTACCATGATTATCTACTGATTAGTTCATTGACTTCATACCCCATGTTTGTACATGCTCTGTGAATGTTGGCTTCTATGCTTTCAATGTTCCTGCCATATCCTGAATAAACACATTTAAAAAAAATTATTGTGACTTTTTTTTCCACTGTGTTCTCAGTCTGTGTTGAATGGTGCAGATACACGAGTGCTGTCCTGTCTGTGTAGAACAAAATAGGTTATCATATGATGCCTGCACTTTCCAGCAGTGTTCAGAAAATTATCTTGGGCTGGCTTATGAGATGGACAGAAAAGCTTAGACTGAATGAACAAACGCACAGTTAAAACCATGAAGCTCCAAGAAAGTAAAAAGCAGCACACCTTTCAACCAAGGTCTGTATCAGTAGGAACAACAACAAAGAATACTTTCAATCCAATGACCTCACTCAGAAGTACTGCTCATGGTAAGAAGATAGAAACGATTTGAAAAACAGAAAAGTGGGAATTAGCACTTAACACTTGTGCAAAGATATAATTTCACTTGCTCAAAGATATAATTTCTCTTCTCACACACATTATCTTTAAACTATCATTATAACATCAATGCGTTCATCTGCACCATGTTGTCACATGCTTAACATTCTTGACATTCTTAACAACAATACTGAAAAGTTACAAGACTATGGCATGATTATTATAATTTATATTACACTTTTAAGGTTTTCATTTGAAGCTCCCTCAATATCCATAGAGTTAAGGGCCAAGAAAATCAAATGAACCCAATATTATATGCATTTAACAGTCAGGTGAGGATGTTTCTTCATGAGAACTTTAATCTGAAGCTATATAAAACAACACACATGGAAAATATGCAAGAACTAATAACAAATTATTTATGTCACTCATAAGTACAAATGCATATGCAGGCATGCACATACAAACACACACATATATAGAAAACATTACATATATGTATCAAACACACACTGGGCTGATGGTGGTTTATCCCACAGACCAAACAGTGCTCAATGGGTGATACAGTCACTTTTACTTCCCTACAGCATGTCAGGGTTCTATTTTTTTGGTGGCATGACCTTTGCACCATGTCATTAAAAATTCCTCACCTAGATATGGGTCTGACAATGACCACCAGACGAGTGCTGTCACTCCATTTCTGTGCTCCATACTCTTTGTTGGTACATCATGAGAGAAAGTGACAGTAATGACAACTACTGCCCCTCCCCATGTGTGTTCTGAGGCCACTTTGTGGAGGGGGGGGGGTAAACCCACTCTCTAAAAAGCATGCCAAAAGAGTTGTCTAATTAAAGGGATTCCTATAGCGTCGGAGTGCATCTGTCTGAGAGACAGGGAACCAAGAATCTGCATAAGCCAGATTTGTAAAACTGATGTGCACATAAAACTCAAGTTCTAGAACAAGGCTAAAATCCAGAAGTGAAAGAAGTATTTAATGTAGCACTATAAACATCTACCTGACCATAAGTTCTCAGGCAGTTCCACAATGTTAATATCTAAAGTAATCTGACAATGTTTCAGCTATTTTATAAACTTTTACAACATCACTTTATTACAAATCTAATGTGCTGACATGTTACACCGTCAGGTGATGAATGTCAATTTCTTCATATAATTTTTATAAAATGTATTCTATAGAAGAAGCTTTCAGAACAGCTGAACAGTGTTTACTTTCTGAGTTCTCTCAGTCTGTAACTAGACAATCTACTATTTACCTTCTTCTCGTTTTGCCCTTTGTCTTCCAGTAGAGCACAGAACAAGTCATGTCAAGACATTCTATCCTTTGTCATCAGGTGTAGCTCACCCTATGTCCACATCTCTTACTTCATTCTTTTATTCTCTGCTTCCAGTTTGTTTAGTCTCCCTTTACCCCTGTGGATTTCATTGCTTTCTCCATGTGTATCCTATCCAAACATACTGGTATTACCTTTCCTAGGAAGTGAACAAGGCAGGCTAAGGAAAGGATCATGCTGCAAAGGGTAACACATGGTGTCTACAATACTTCTCAGGCTGTGTGCTGTGGAAAGGAGGAACTTCAGGCCTGGCCTTCACCGATTCCCATGTATCTCCATAAAACAATATAAGACTATCCTCTGGAAAGACAGAAAGGTACCAACGAAAGAATCCTATCCAATAGCAGCATGTTTTTCTCATCTTTTGATTTCCTATAATCTGTTAAGCCCTTTCACAAAATCTCACATTAGTGACAGTCAGCATTTGCCTAACACAATTTAAGTAAATCAATGATCCAGCACACATTCTTTAATATATTTGCAAACATTCACACATAAAAAACCAGCAGATAGAAGAAGGCAGACCTGTCACAATTCAACAGGTACAAATGTATTTATAACCATGTAACGTGAGAAGATGACATGAAGAATCCTGAACCATACAAACTGTGTCTGATGTGCATACATAGCACGCTGAAACAAACAACAACAAAAATACAATTTAAATAAAAAGTTTTTTCCTAAACCTTAAATAGATTTTTGAGGTATGTAAAAATGTGTGGTCTGCTCAAAATAAATTTAAAAAATCACCAAAATGTATTTCTAACATGAAAGTGACACAGTGATGTGTTTGTCTCTCGATGCAATTACCCTCTTGTAATAATGTGAATGAGAAAAATGATCACCCAAGCTTTCCAGCAAGGTACATAATAATTAATAACAACTGCTTTTGATGCAAGTTTCCTAATAACTATGTGTGGCGTCACTATAGTGCGAGCTGTGTGGGTCAAGCGTTACTATACTGCAACCATAGTGCGAGCTGTGTGGGTCAAGCGTTACTATACTGCAACCATAGTGCGAGCTGTGTGGGTCAAGCGTTACTATACTGCAACCATGGTACAAGCAGTGTGGGCCAAGCGCTACTATACTGCAGCCATTGTACGAGCTGTGTGGGCAAAGCGTTACTATACTGCAACCATTATAGGAGGGGTGTGGGCCAAGCATTACTATAGTGTAACCATGGCACAAGCTGTGTGGGCCAAGAATTACTATAGTGCAACCATGGCACAAGCTGTGTGGGCCAAGCATTACTATAGTGCAACCATGGCACAAGCTGTGTGGGCCAAGCATTAACATTGTATTCTGTACTTTCTATAAGCTATGTCCCTCAAAACATTGTATTCTGTACTTTCAATAAGCTATGTCCCTCACAGCATTGTTTCCTATATTTTCTATAAGCTATGTCCCTCAAAACACTGTAACCTGTACTTTCTATAAGCTATATCCCTCAAAACATTGTATTCTGTACTTTCAATAAGCTATGTCCCTCAAAACACCACATCCTGTACTTTCTATAAGTTATGTCCCTCAAAACACCACATCCTGTACTTTCCATAAGTTATGTCCCTCAAAACATCATATCCTGCAGGTGCTGTAAAGCTATAACCCTCAAAGCACCATACCATGTATTTGCTATAAAGCTATATCCCTCAAAACATTGTATCCTTACTTGCTATAAAGCTATGTCCCTCAAAACACCATATAATGTACTTGCATAAAGCTATGTCCCTCAAAACACCATATAATGTACTTGCATAAAGCTATGTCCCTCAAAACACCATATAATGTACTTGCATAAAGCTATGTCCCTCAAAACATTTTATCCTGTAATTTCCTGTACAGAAAAACCATGACACTGGGTTATAACCTGATAACAGTGTGACGACAAAAGAAGAAAGATGTTCCTCAAAACATCATATCCTGTAGGAGCTATAAAGCTATGTCCCTCAAAACACCATATCCTGTATGTGCCTTAAAACTGTCCCTCAAAACATTGCACCCTATACCTATGTCCCTCAAAACATTGCATCCTGTACCTATGTCCCTCAAAACATTGCATCCTGTACGTGCTATAAAACTGTCCCTCAAAACATTGCATCCTGTACATGCTATAAAACTGTCCCTAAAAAAACTGCATCCTGTACTTATGTCCCTCAAAACATTGCATCTGGTTCTTATGTCCCTCAAAACATTGCATCCTGTACTTATGTCCCTCAAAACATTGCATCCTGTACTTAGGTCCCTCAAAACATTGCATCCTGTACTTAGGTCCCTCAAAACATTGTATCCTGTACTTAGGTCCCTCAAAACATTGTATCCTGTACTTATGCCCCTCAAAACATTGCATCCTGTACTTATGTCCCTCAAAACATTGCATCCTGTACTTATGTCCCTCAAAACAATGCATCCTGTACTTATGTCCCTCAAAACATTGCATCCTGTACTTATGTCCCTCAAAACATTGCATCCTGTACTTATGTCCCTCAAAACATTGCATCCTGTACTTATGTCCCTCAAAACATTGCATCCTGTACTTATGTCCCTCAAAACATTGTATCCTGTACTTATGTCCCTCAAAACATTGCATCCTGTACTTATGTCCCTCAAAACATTGCATCATGTACTTATGTCCCTCAAAACATTGCATTCTGTACTTATGTCCCTCAAAACATTGTATCCTGTACTTATGTCCCTCAAAACATTGCATCATGTACTTATGTCCCTCAAAACATTGCATCCTGTACTTATGTCCCTCAAAACATTGTATCTTGTACATGCTATAAAGTGATGTCCCTCAAAACATTGTATCCTGTCATCGTCATCATGTACCTTGCCGACTAGCGTAGGTGATCATGCCTCTCGAAAATCCGCAATCTGCAACTGCATGTACCAGTTTGTGTGTTGACACCCCTCTATGCCATAAAAAAAGACTGTCAAGAATCTTTTTATGCTGACTTCCTCTGTTTCCTCTTCCACAGATCTTTCCAGTGGTCCCAGCATGTTCCATTTTCCCTCTTCCCAAAACATTACTAAAAAATTATGATTGTGTTTTTCTGATGTTTGTGATTAGTTGTCTTCGAGTAATTTACTCTTTTAAAACATCTCGGCTGCTATTCTTAGCTGTCCAAGGAATTCTAAGCATTCTTCCATAAAACCACACCTCTGCAGCCTCAAGATATTGTTGTTTTTTTTTTACTAATTGCCCTGGCTTCACAGCCGTATGTTAAAACGGGTTCTAAATAGCATGCAAGAATTCTTTTCCCAACCTCCAATGACATGGATTTATTGCATAAAATGTTCTGTATTTTGTAAAATGCAGTTTTATCCTGTCCTATTCTATTCATTATCTCAGTGATACATCTTCCATCAGATGTTATCCATGTGCTTAGATACCTAAATTTCTGTACTTGTCCTAAAATAATGACTGACTTTTATTATACATTTAGGCACTATTCTTTTCTTAGAAATCACCATTACTTCTGTCTTTCCATTATTAAAACTGAGGCCCAATTTGTCACTTTCTACCACCACCATATCTATAAATTCCTGTAGTTTTTGACTTGGCGCTATCAAGACCCTGTCATCAGCATATCCAGGGTATGTCATCCTGTTCGAGTCCCTCAAAACATCACATTCTGTACTTGCTATAAGCGAGTCCCTCAAACATCACATCCTGTACTTGCTATAAAACGAGTCTCTTAAAACATCACATCCTGTACTTGCTATATGGTGAGTCCCTCAAAACATCACATCCTGTACTTGCTATAAAGTGAGTCCTCAAAATATCACATCATGTACTTGCTAAAAGTGAGTCCCTCAAAACATCACATCATGTACTTGCTATAAAGTGAGTCCCTCAAAACATCACATCCTGTACTTGTTATAAAGTTAGTCCTCAAAACATCAGATCATGTACTTGCTATAAAGCTAACACCTTCACTTACCTGGGAGCAAATAATGTTGGAAAAACTGGACACAAAAGTGAGTTTTTTAGTCAGCAGACTCAGGGGAAGGTCCAGGAATGAGATGTACTGTCTTGCCAGAGAGACAGTCTCCAGCAAATACAGTCTGGGTTTTGCTGAAATTGGCAGTTACATTCATGTGACAGTTTGTTACCAGCTAAATAAATGTAGTTTACTTGAACCGTCAAAACAAAAGAAACATACAATACATTAAATAAATAACATTAACATTACATACACACATACATTCATTAACTCTTTCAGGCCCATGAATTTTGACAGACTTGGCCCACATTAATTTCCCTTTACAAAAATGGCAGAGGGGTGGGTGTACAAGAAAGGCTGTAGAGACTGTAATATACTTCTAATCCCTATAACAGTTTATATTTTTTAAACGAGAAATGAGTGTACATTCTGAATCTGATGATAAGTGTTTGTTTAATTTTGTTATAGTTAGTGGAAAAGAAGAATTCAGCAGGTGTTAATTTTACAAGGACAACATTTCACACAAAAAATTCTTCACTTACCATGGTTTTGCAGCCACAAGAATAGTAAATATATAAATTTGAGAACAAAACTTCAAAGTTTGTTCAATTTCCTAACATATTCTAAAGTTATGATAACTTTCTGGGTTAGTTTATCACTCAGGAGCTCTTAGTTCCCACCGAGTGCTAAGCAAAATTTCAGAGAAAAAATGGCAGAAAAATGAGCCATAACACACACACTATTTACTATTCACTTTGTACAGTTATTTACAGACTGTAGCTGCGATGATTTCAATGTAGCTTAGCCATAGTATAGTACTATCTCTTTGTTTAGAGCACTTTCCTTCTCTTACATCATAAATACGGTAGTATGGGACATTGTATGTGTAATAAACTCGTCAGAATCGCTAGATTCCGAACAGCTTATCGCTCAGCTTCACTGGTGAAAATTCACTGTCTGAATCACTTTCCGAAAAATCTAAATTTTTATTATAATTTTCACAATTAAAAACATCTGACTGAAACAATTTTAGAGCTTCGGCCGCAGAAAGACGAATTCTGCGACCTGTTCTTGTGGTTAGAACATTGGTATTCCGTGCACTCAAAAACGAACTTAGAAAATAAACTGTTAAAAAAATGTGGATGTATTTTTCTTTCAAATTATCCACGTGTGGTTTAGTCCAAGAAGTGAAACTAAAAGGATTTCGGCAGAGTGACTTTCCCTGAATAGGTTACTCGTGCCTCCAAACATTAGAAACTAGTACGAACGCGCGTGCAAAGCAAAATGTAAGAGATACACAATTAACGATGACACCGTTGTTTGGGCAGAACGGAACTTCTCAAACTACGCTCACACCGTTGTTTGGGCCTTAAAGAGTTAAATACATAACATTACATACATAACTACATAAATAACGCACCACACATAAATAACACAACGCACATATATAACACACTCTTCATAGACATGCATGATTTATAAATGACTTACTGACTGACTTTCTACCCCACCAGGACATCACACAAGCGATAAACACCCGATGACACAAAGTGCCACCATGTGGATGAGGATCGCCGTGGAGAGGTCCCAGAAACCACGTTCAGACAATTGGCCATATTTATGGCCTGCCTATATTGCGGCCCCTGGCAAAAGCCAGGGTGAGGCTTCAAATAGCAAAACATTTTGTCCTAAAAAGGACGAAATACCTATTGTTAGGTGGTGTGCATATGCTTTATAAATAAATTAAAGCACCTTTTATAGACCAACTATCCCTTGATGGATAATGTAAGTCAGGGCTATTCAACTAAGCCAAGACCTAAAGTGTTGAAATTGGGGCCCAAAGACCCAGCTCAGAAAGATCACTGTTTGAATAATGACTTGTGGGTCACTTGCTAGGTCTCAAGTTGAATGGTCTGGATGTAGGCAATATTATGTCGATCATCTTTACTCTCCAAAGCACTCCACGGTGACCCGTTTGAAGTCCAGCTTAATTGTTTGACAGCCATTGCCTCAAATGGGGAGTTAAACACATGACCACCAGGCAGGCAGGCATGCAGGCTAGTCGCTGCACATCCTTGGCTCTCATTGTATAGTAAAGTAAACAGGACCATTTTCCACGTCTTCAGGTGTACTGGGCATGCAGGGCTAGACCTATATCTTATCGACCAATCAGCACTGGGTGGGTCATGTGGTCAGCATGACACCACTCTCACTGAATGGATAAAGATAAAAGTATAAATGAATGAATTAAGAAATAATATCACTGCCCTCTGGATGTTATCCTACATGCTCTGTCCTTCTCCTCAGTAGCCAATGAAATAAAAGCCCCATACTAATAGTGTCAGCTGAAACCTGACTGAAAGTTCACCTGTTCCCCTGCAGGTGGAAAACTGTCCAGATGCTCTGCACACTCTTAGCTCAATCATTCTCTCCAGATATGGGAGCTCTCTCTGTTCCACTGCACTGTTGACTTGATCCCAGATGCCTTTCATGACATCTACTTATCAAAATGCAGCTATGCCCACAGGGCCCCAGTCTAGCAGCCTCTTACCAAGTACATCCAATTGTCCTGGGAAATAAAATCCATGATAGGCTTTTGACTTCAGTCCTACAAAGTGATGCAAGCCACACTGAGTGTAAGACACCAGTTAATATTTCTAAAGCAAGCTCTGCAAGTTACTTACAATTACACCATGGTGGGCTGTTATAGTCTCCAGCTATCAAAAAGCTACCCTTCACTTCCATTCTAATACTAGACGTTGTGAAGTTATATATGAGGCTTCTGTTGTTTTTTTTAAGACAACTTCCATTCTCCTTTGCAATAAATCCACATCCACTCCTTTTTTTTTTACTGGTATCTACAGATCCACCTGTGTACATAAAGATAAACACCCAGGTGTGAATTTTCATTGATAAGTTCATGTACGGATGCCTCTGTTGAACCAGCCATCCATTCCCAAAACCTTGATCCTCCATGCAGGGCTTTCTCGCTGGGTGGCATTGTCATCCTTCCTCACCTCCTGTTAACTGCACTTCTGATAGTTACTTCTGCCTGTGCCAACCAGAGCACTTTCATTTAGCTGTGTCCCTTGGTTTCATCCAACATCCCATATAGGTGTTCCCTGTCCGCTGCAAATTTAAGGCTATGAGAAGTAGAATTCTACATTCTGATATGGTGTAGGGTTTTATATTGAAGATTTTGGTCAAAACTTTTGGTTGTATCAATGCCTGTTTGCTATCCCTGCTGCAGAACTTCCTAGTCTTGTTTCTGTATTGTGTTAAGTTAATTCTATAATGAAAATATGCTTTAGCACTGACCATGGCACAAGATTTCAATTAATGAACAATAGCACATTTGACTAGAATACATAACTGGTTACTCACGTCCAGTAGCTCTACTTTCCTTCAGCATCTGCCTGTAGAAGGGGAAAATTCACTTTTCTAAATAACCTAATGTGTAATTATACTGGGGAATAACATATATTAAATTATACAAACAAAAAGGCTGGGAAAAGATATTTGTTTTAAGTGTTAGTTCTACAATATTCAATGATAAAGATGTTTAGAATGATCTAGAAAAGACTTATTTATTCTTTCCTTCCATTCTATTCTGTGCAATTGTTTCAAGATCATGGAATTTATTCCTGTCAAGCATCTCTGGCCTCTCTGATCAATGTTCATCTGATGGTTTCTTATCCATGTCCTCGTTTCCTCAATCTTTTGTCTCCCATTTAAGTGCCTGTTTGGTGATTCTTTATTTGCTTCTCTTCAGGATGAGGCCAGATACATCACCATCTTCTTTGTCTTAACTGTTGATGCCCCTGTTGTCCAGACGTATCTCTTAATTCTTTGCTTTTCTTGAATTAATCCATCCAAATTAATTTTCATCATCCCTGTGTGGGTTCTGGGACCCTATTGTGGGGAAAACCAGAATAGACCCACTGCACACCCAAAAGCATGTCATAAGAGTCGACTAATTGGGAGCTTCCTTCTAAGTTGGAGTGCATCTGCCTGAGAGGCAAGGAACCAGCAGTCTGCATACAAATGAGTCAGTATGTAAAACGGATGCGCACGCAACACTCAGGTTCTGGAACACGACTGCAGTCCAGAAGTTGATGAACAACCAGAACTTTCCACTAGAGTTCACAGCTGGTGAACGTGAAGAAGAAGAAGAATGTTCATCAAATTCCTAAGGCAACTGTTTATCTCTCTGTCTTGTTCTTGTCCCGCTCCCATCCTTGTAGCTAAGCCGTCTAGGTATTTATCTCTCTGTCTTTTCCCGCTCCCATCCTTGTTGCTAAGCCATCTAGGTATTTTCTCTCTGTCTTCCTCTTGTCCCGCCCCCATTCTTGTGGCCAAGCCATCTAGGTATTTATCTCTCTGTTTTGCTCTTGTCCCGCTCGCATCCTTGTGGCCAAGCTATCTAGGTATTTATCTCTCTGTCCTTATTTTACACTTATCCCACTCCCATCCTTGTGGCCAAGCCATTTAGGTATTTATCTCTCTGACTTCATTTTACACTTGTCCCACTCCCATCCTTGTGGCCAAGCCATTTAGGTGTTTATCTCTCTGTCCTCCGATTGTTCTTGTACCGCCCCCATCCTTGTGGCCAATCCATCTAAGTATTTGTCTCCCTGTCCTCCTCTTGTTCTTGTCCCACTCCTATCCTTGTGGGCCAGTCATTTACTGACCTGTGACTTGAAGGACTATCAGTAATTCTTATTGTTTCTGTGAAGGAGATGACCTTTTTATGGGAGCATTATATTTCATTTTTGTAGTTAAGCATTTGTGATGTTTGTTCATTGATAAGGACCTTGGATTGTATCTGTTGTCTTTCTATTGTCAGAGCTTCCTAGCTGCATTTAGCATTTATTCAGATTTATTAAGACATTCTCCATTTGTATAAACACCAATTAGCACTTTTCGGGTAACTGTGTCAATATCCATGATGGGTGACTGTGTCAATATCCTTGATCGGTGACTGTGTCAATATCCTTGATCGGTGACTGTGTCAATATCCTTGATTGGTGACTGTGTCAATATCCTCGATGGATGACTTTGACTATGTTAATATCCTTGATGGGTGACTGCCTCAATATCTTTGATGGGTGTAGTGTCATCCCACAGATAAGGCTCTAGATCACATAGGGGCAGTGTCAGCACATAGATAAGGTTGTAGATCACACAGGAGTAGTGTCATCCCACAGAAAATATATTACTCACGAGGGGCCAACATTCATCCTGCATATGAAATCCTGCCAAACTGATGTTTTCTACTCTTGATCTTTCCTTGAATAACCTGATCATTATACTCAGGTTACTGCTGTAATGGAGTAAGTTCTTTTACTTTTAACATACAGTAGTTCAAAATCTAGCCGTCTGACCTTTTTTTTTTGTAAATGAACTTAGCTCTTAGGCCAACACAGCTTTAAATAGGTACCAGGTAAAGTCCTAGGAAGTAAAGGCACCAGCATAATGTCGATCATATCACCAACCAAGGGCCAACTGGTCAATGAAAATATATGTCTTGCCGCATATGCCAGATGCACCGCTGTTGTGTAGAAGGACCTTTGCTTTTTCTTTTAGTTTAGAATAAGAGTATCTCAGACAAAGAATGGACCAGATCAAGAAAATATACACCAAGCTACCCACCGTAAAACTTGCGATACAGCAATATGGTTTGGATGGCCACTCACACCTTTATCATCAAATGTTAAGATCTTGGAGGAAGAAAGAACATTATTGTCAAATACAATACACCTTGATGCAGAAAAACCAAGAGGTTTTAGTGACTGATTATCAATCGGTACTGGGGGAAGGTTAAAAATGGATAATTGTGGTATGAATCTGTAACAAGCAATAGAGGGACTCACATGGATAATATGTCCAGGATATGCAGGAGTGCTAGGAAAAGAAAGAGCAGATTTATGGCTACAAAAGCAGTAGCGACAGGAACACTCGTACTGGACAAAGAAGACACTCTGAAAACCATTTACAAATTAATGCTGACAGAAGACACAAGGTTAAATGAAATAAAATGTATGAGAATGTGTCAATGAGGAATCAGGTGTGAATCAGGCAAGGAGGGACGTATGAGAGGAAGAGAAAGACATGGTTACAAACAGTGTGCTACAGGAAGAGTCACCATCTACACGTTAAAACATACAGGAGATGGAGCATCTATGAGTATGCCCGGTGTGCTATGATGCAGGAGATGGAGAACCTATAGGTATGCCCGTTGTGCTATGATGCAGGAGATGGAGAACCTATAGGTATGCCCATTGTAATATGATGCAGGAGATGGAGAATCTATAGGTATGCCCAGTGTGACATGATGCAGGAGATAGAGAATCTATAGGTATGCCCAGTGTGCTATGATGCAGGAGATGGAGAATCTGTAGGTATGCCCAGTGTGCTATGATGCAGGAGATGGAGAATCTATGGGTATGCCATGTGTGCTATGATGCAGGAGATGGAGAACCTATAGGTATGCCCAGTGGGCTATGATGCAGGAGATGGAGAACCTATAGGTATGCCCAGTGGGCTATGATGCAGGAGATGGAGCACCTATAGGTATGCCCGTTGTGCTATGATGCAGGAGATGGAGAGCCTATAGGTATGCCCAGTGGGCTATGACGCAGGAGATGGAGCCCCTACGGGTATGCCCGGAGTGCTATGATGCAGGAGATGGAGAACCTATAGGTATGCCCAGTGGGCTATGATGCAGGAGATGGAGCCCCTACGGGTATGCCTGGAGTGCTATGATGCAGGAGATGGAGAACCTATAGGTATGCCCAGTGTGCTATGATGCAGGAGATGGAGCACCTATGGGTATGACCGGAGTGCTATTATACTGATTGTTAAACCAGTAGTTGGCTAAAACATTATTAATAAAGTAAAACAAAATAGGAGTTAAACTGTGTTATTATATAATAAAATATGCTTACATAATCAGGCTGCAATTGCTCTATGTGTGCCATAAGACTCTGTTGCAGCTTCCTCACATCCCAAGCCTGGTGTGGATCATCTAAGAAACAGCTGAAAGTAAATACCTGCATTATAATCATGAGTTCAAACAAATGCACTTATATGCCGTACAAGTGACACCCAAAATGACCTACTAAACAAGAGATTTTACAAAAGGACATTAAGTGCACAGCTACTTACATAAATCACAACCATTCAAAGACACTTACAACAATAAAGAGCAAACAAACTTGCATACATCTTTATATCGTAGTAGAGGCAAATCTCAACATCTTCTACCTATCTGGAATTTACCATGCAGGATATCCTTTGAGACTATACAGGGAGAACTTACTTAAGTCAGTTCTCTTCTACCGTGGGGTGTGAAGGTTTTCCAGAAAGACTGACTTCTCTATCAGTATTTTCTTTTTCCCTTTGCTCCATTCCAGTCCTCCCTCAGTCAGAGACTATCAGATTTGTCTTCCCAGTGAACCCTGAGTTGTCATAGACATCTGCTTCCTTGGTTTTCAGCCTCCCCTGCCTGCTGTGGTGTCCGATTCTCTCCCATTTTGCACACATGTCAAAATCACCATAATGGCGACTAATCAACTCAAGTCTGTAAGACCTGGTTTTCAAGATCATGACGCATTGTCTGGTTGTAAACTTTCTCTCTTCTTGTTGCTTGGATCACCTTTCACAGATACCTCATTTTTGAGGCCAGAAGCTGGCTTTTATGAGCTGTTGTCATTGCCCATGTCTCACATCTGTAAGGTCAGAACTGGCACACAGAGCAGTATAAGCAGTTTTAGTCCTCTTGTTAATTTTCTTTTGCTGAGAAACTGTCAGTTTATATAAGCAACAAAAACATAATACTCAACATAATGGACAATCATCCGACATCTAACAGACACAGATAGTTTGATCACATTGAGTGAAGTTGTCTCAAAGATAACGAAAAGTGTTTAAAAATGAGAGGATCAACTTAGTTGTTCTGGTTTTTATCCCAAGTGATTCAGTTCCTCCCTGCAGAGTGGATGGCACCTACCAAGACTATCACACAAAGCACAAACTTTGTAACTCAAGTAATGATCCCCAGAGATCTAAGGTAAAAGAATTACACTCATTAACTGGATGACCACTCTAAAGCAGACCCCTGATCCTCGAGGCACAAAGTGAACTGACTGACTGCTAAGCTTTAAAGATCCCCAGGATCAAAGACAAGCTAAAGCCTCCCACCCCCCCCCCCCCCCCCCTCCTCCCCTCCACACACAAAAAAGTGGAAAAAATCCATGAATAATATATCTGGCAATTAAAAACTACAGTAAAAGCAAAAAGAATAAACATCATCAAGTGCCATCTCTACACTGAGGGTTGGCTGTGATGAGTCTTCAATGTCCTGCATCTTCAAGAGGGATTCTAATCTGATATCTCCCCCTCCTTAAATTAAATTTTCCTGTCTTGTTTGCCAGCAACATCATGATACATCAATACCATCAGACTTCAGTAGAGCTTCCTTGAGAAATGTTCAAACTCACATGACATCATCTCATTATCCAAGCTGACCTGTATTATCAAACATCACTACAGACCAGTGAATGTAGCAAGCAATCTGAAATATGCCTTAGGCAGCAAATGTATGAATGTAGTGACCAGGCTGCAACTACAAACTGAGTACATTGTCAAATGTGTTGAGTTCTTTCAAAATTCAGTGCCACTCACATGTTTTATATATACACACATTCATCCCCGGAACTCCCCCTGTGGGTTATGGGGCCATCATAGTGTGGTAAGAGCAAGAATAGACCCAGTGCCTCCTCAAAAAGTATCTCATAGGAGTCGACAAAATGGGGGCATCCTTCGAAGTCAGAGTACGCTTGCCTGAGAGGCAAGGAACCAAGAGTCTGAATACAAATAAGCCAGATATGTGAAGGGTGCCCCCTCCACACAGTTCATGGCGTTTTGTTCCCACAGGTCCACCTTAATACCTGTATCATTCATGTCCCTCTTGCACACATCTTTATATTGCAGTAGAGGTCGGCCTCACGATCTTTATCCTTGAGGATGTCCTTAGGGACTCTGCCATCCTCCATTCTCTAGGTGTGACCCAGCCACCTGAGCCATTTAATGCCAAGACACACACAATACACACGTAAATATATGTGTGTGTGTGTGTATATATATATATATATATATATATATATATAGAGAGAGAGAGAGAGAGAGAGAGAGAGAGAGAGAGAGAGAGAGAGAGAGAGAGAGAGAGAGAGAGAGAGAGAGAGAGAGAGAGAGAGAGAGAGAGAGAGAAGAGAGAGAGAGAGAGAGAGAGAGAGAGAGAGAGAGAGAGAAGGAGAGAGAGAGAGAGAGAGAGAGAGAGAGAGAGAGAGAGAGAGAGAGAGAGAGAGAGAGAGAGAGAGAGAGAGAGAGAGAGAGAGAGAGAGAGAGAGAGAGAGAGAGAGAGAGAGAGAGAGAGAGAGAGAGAGAGAGAGAGAGAGAGAGAGAGAGAGAGAGAGAGAGAGAGAGAGAGAGAGAGAGAGAGAGAGAGAGAGAGAGAGAGAGAGAGAGAGAGAGAGAGAGAGAGAGAGAGAGAGAGAGAGAGAGAGAGAGAGAGAGAGAGAGAGAGAGAGAGAGAGAGAGAGAGAGAGAGAGAGAGAGAGAGAGAGAGAGAGAGAGAGAGAGATTATACCTGTCATCAAAGACTTCAACATTCTGCTTAGGTATTCCTAGCACTTTAGCACTTTCAAGGATTTCTTTCTTCCTCTCAGTCCCAAGGCCATAGTAGTTACCTATTGTACAAACACATAGAAACATAAAATATTTCATTGCCTTGGTGTCTAAGTATCTACATGATGCAGGACATTTTCAATGAAGTATTTGAAAGTTGTTCACTTCTGCAATGAGTGTTAAAGGGATCTTTGTATTCAGACAAAATCTTTAGGACATGGATTTGATTAAAAGCCTGGTAAAGATGTCATGGATGAAATTAACTCACAGAGAAAACCTGTTACTTGGATCAGAACAAGTTAGTTCACATTCTGTAAGAATGTCAAGAGAAGGGAACAACTAGAGTATGGGAAAGCTGGAGGGGAAGAGAAGTAACGAGAAAACCAAGACTTCTGACAGTCTGGCATCTGACGTGGAAGAAGGCTATTTCAGAAATTATTAACAGTACACAAGACAGATGTGGAGAAACAAAATGACTAATGCTACATGGCATGGACAATAAGAAAAAGAAAGAATAAATGTATTTTTCATTTATATACAATTTTATTTAACAAAACCTCCAAAACAAGCAAACTGGAGCTTACATAATACAACGTATAATCTCAACATCACCTTACAACTAAAGAAAATGGCAGTATAAAAAGTGTGCTGTGAACTCTAAAACAGCATCTAGGTGCAGGAAGGGTAGTCACAGGTGCTACAAAAAATTAGGGAAGCAATAACAGCCAGGACAGAAAAAGGTAAGAGTAATAATGAAGGCTAGATCATTCAGTGAGGCAAACATTTAAACTATGTTGAGGTAAAACTGATAGTTATTTAGACTAACTTGCTTCCTTGTGATATTTTTTTCCTTCTGTCACTTCCTGACAGATCAAGCATTCATCATCCATGTGTGGATTCCGGGCCACATTTAGGGGTGGAGGGAGGGGGAGAACAGACCAACCAACCCCGAAAAAAAAAGCATGTCACACAAGGTGATAATTAGGGGTGTGCCTTTCGAAGTCAGAGTGTGCTTCTGCCCTACAGGCGAAGAACCAACAGTCTGCATACAAATAAGTCAGATCTGTAAAAAGGATGTGCCTGCAAAACTCCAGAAGTGGATGCACAACCAGAACTTTCTACTAGAGTTTACAACTGGTGAACGATAAGAGGAAGTATTCTTCTTGATCATTTCCTCTGTTTTTATAAAACTTCTTATATCTCTCAACTGGCAGCACATTGCTTGATAGGTTGAGCTGAATAAAGAACAGGTTTGCAGCTATTAACAGGTTCAATCTACTGGAAACTTCTGGGCAATGTTTAATTCACTACTTTAACAACACAATTTTTTATAAGATTATCTAAATACTCATTGTACAGTAATTGACGTAATCAACATAAAACGTGTGAGGAGAACAATATCCTAAATAATAATGATACAAATTGCATAAATGTCTTAAATAAATGATTATATGATACCTAAAATAGCTATGCTATATTCTGAAAAGTAATGAACACCTTATATCTCAATTGCAACTCTGAAACTTGAGCTGGATATATGTGTGAAAATGACTACCATCACCTGTGTGATGATGTGGATTGTTCTACTGTATCTATAAATGATCTTCTTTCATTTGATGAAGACTGGCATGAAGATGGGCACAGGATATAAGAGACACACTGGGTAGGAATGTGCAGAAGAGCTGGTCAGAGACTGAGGTGGGCTGTAATGACAGTGACAATCTGCAAAGGACTTGCTACATGATGATGATGAACCCTTATATTTATAAGAATGTGAATGTATGTATAATGTGATAAAGCTGGTACTTGGATAGAACACTAAGATTAAGCATCACACCAAGATATTCTAACTTGTATGCTGGTCAAACAGGGATGTGACATGTCTGTACAGCATTAAAAATTCTGGCTCTCCTGTCAACTTAGGCCGTTAGCTGGACTGCCGCCGATCGCTTAGTGGGAGTTCTCTCCCTTGGCTGGATTGCAAACACGGAGCAGAAAAGTCACGAATCAAATGACTTACTTACCTATCATCATACGGTTGCGTGTACGGTTGCGTAGTCATCATACGGTTACGGTTACCTATCATCATACGGTTGCGTCTACGGTTGCATAGTCATCATACGGTCATCATAGGGTTTGGGTTAGGGATAGGGTTAGCGGCGTTAGGGGTTGGGTTACGGTTAGGGTTAGGGGTAGGCTTAGGGGTAGGGTTAGATGTGACAATTTTGACATAGGAGTTCCAAATACTGGCCGACAATCTGATGCTTGTGCGAGTGGCGCCACTGGACTTCTCCCAAATATGACAGCAATAGCGCGGGGCTGGTGCCCCATCGGTGGCGACTTGTCCGTTTGAGTAGCATCCACAGTCCTTTGATTGTTTGGGTGTGTATGTGACTGTGCGCGATTAACCCTATCGCTACCCCTAACCCTACCCCTAACCACGCAAATTTATCGGCGGTCATTAAGTCATACAGATCTGCAGGAGTCACATCCGTGGCAACTAATACCACTTTTATATAAGGATATATTTACTTTAAACAAACCCCAGATTTCACAGAAGCGTCATATAAACAGCCAGATCTGGGGGAAACACCCAAGCATTGGCAGCCCTGTTGTCGACCTCACTGCCTTTTTGATTCGTGACTTTTCCCGCTCCGTGTTCGCAATGCAGCCAAGGGAGAGAACTCCCACTAAGCGATCGGCGGCTTTCCAGCTAACGGCCTAAGTTGACAGGAGAGCCGAAATTCTATTTCAACCACAATATTACTGATGATGATCTAATTCATTTACCTGTAGTGACGCACAGGATGTGAACTGAATTAGAATGTGACAGTTCAAGTATAGCTGGTGAAAAAAACATACATTCATCATCTGGGTGTGCAGTTACCAGCAGAACTTTGCGTCCGGCAAAAATATTCCTTTTATACAAATCAATCGCCTTTAATGTTAGAATAATATACAAGCCACTACACACAGCTACATAGAGGAAAACACCATACTGAAGAATCCACGAAAGAGTGTGATAATTGAGTAACCACAGCAGGTTAGTCATAAACATAGACATTGTGGTCCCACACTCCTCTCTTAGTCAACTACACACAGTGAGTTTATTAAGTAAATGGACTAGCTGTCTATCAGTGTTTGTTACTAACTGGTAACTACTGGTGTTTGAAGACTTCAAATGAAGTAGTTGAAGCTCTCGCTGTATGAATGTTGAGCAGGTGACCGGTTAAGACTTAACCGTTAAGTAAGGAAAGGAATATTTCAAATATAATATTTTAAAGCCAGTGTCGTTCTCCTCTTAGAAGCGACTCAAATATGTGTCATTATTTTGTACCAACAGTAGCCGACTGTAAAACAAGCTTCCTACGAAAGAACATATATCTCATTCAGAAACTAACAGGCCAACCAGGTTAGCATGTAGTTGTGTATACACCGTCACTACATTGTCGTAATACTGCTATACACTGCTAAATTATAACGCTATAAAACGAAGAACTGTAGTTAAATTTGTTACCGTCACCAGTTTTATCACTTGACTTTGCATACAAAATTATATAATTATTCACATAATTAAAGCAGCGAACACTGATAAGTCGTAAAATGGCTAAGCAGCCCCGGGCATCCTAGCAACGGCGTCCGGTAGCTACTGCTTGGTGGATTGTCTCTGATTCAATCATCACAGATTGTCTCTGATTCATTCATCACTACACAGGATAACAACTCACATTAGTAGACTGCGCCTGTGATATGTCTGATAGTGAAGATGAACGTTCCGACGTCAATGTGTCAGATGCCGACGATGGTAAAATAGTCTTTTAATATTTTAAACAATGTAGAGTAAAACTAACTAAACTTCAAAACAACGCGATTGGCGTTTGGTTAAGTTAGTAGTAATTAACCGTAATTTATAAGCGATGTGTTGAGAGGAGATGCAAGGATCAGATGTGTGCTTTTTGAAACATATTTTTCGTTACATTTGCCTTGATAAACAAAAGGGTTGACTGTAGAAATAAAAACTATACAAATTAATTATGTTTATTAAATTTTTTAGAAGCTGATTGCAACTGACTGGCAAGAGCAATTGTTGCTTAATTTTTGTAATTTGTGACTTCCCTAGTCACCCTTATTTTTTTACAGTATAAGTCACACCCATGATGTTTTATTCATTTTTAATAGCCTGATATATTACAGTGTGGAAATAATATAAAAATATATTAAAATAAAGAGGAAAAGCTTTTTGCATGCCTCTAAATTATAGGATTAGATGGAAAGGGTGACATAATTATTAGTTATCTATACTGGAAAGAAACAGCAACAATTAGACACAACAATATCATATATATATATATATATATATATATACACACACACACATACACTCACACCACACACACACACACAAGCACATATATACACATGGGTCTGTAGTTAGAAGTAAGAAGAGTAGGTAGGGTTTTATTACAAAGGCCAATGGACACTGTTTGAGCCTCACATAAAATGTCACTACATCCATCATGAGAATGGTGGTGCAAGTGGTAATGGCAGCTTTCTGAAGGCTTGAGAGCAGCACAGCCCAAAATGTTGTTATGGTAACGAACTAACAGAGCATGCTTTAGAAAAAGTGAAACTTGTCTCCTGTTTGCAGAGTGGCTTGCATTACTTAGCTCAGATGCAGGAGCATATAATGGATTTTCAATTCAAGATATTCAGGTGTGTGAGGTAACGAGCAAGTTGATAGATTAGCTGCTACCACTCCTCTGGTTGGTGAGCTACTTTATAATAAAATGGGTGTGGTGAAGGCTCTCTAAGATCAAATGGGCATAGCAATAGAACATTCAGAGAATCCATACATTGAAAGATTAATCAGCTGGGGGTAAGCAGGGATTCTGGAAGATATTCAACCTTGAGGGGGATACATAGGTGGACTTTTAATCAGGTTGCAACTGATACTGCTAGCATTTGGACTCTTCATTAGCTACTGAAGAAGGGGACGGAGCACATATGGAAATGTCCTGAGTGCAGTGATGTCAGTTCTTCATTGATTAATTCACCCTTTCCTATATGTGTGGTTTAACTCTCCTGATGTCAATAATTTGTGTATTTTATTGAAGATTAGTTTTAGTCATTCCTATTCTATTTTTGATTTCTGTTTCACTTCTGCCATCATGTGTTATTATATGTCCAAGATAAGAGAAACTTGTTATTTGTGATAATATCTCTCAGTTTACAGAGGTGTCCACATTTGGTAGCTCTCGTAAATTATCACAGTTTTATTGCTTTTTGAATGTTAATGTCTAATCCACATTGTGCGCAATGCCTGTTGACTTTTTCACCAGATCTTATAACTCCTGCTCACTTTCTGCTAGCAACACAGTGTCATCAGCTATCTCAGACTGTTTATTATTCTTCCATTAATATTTAGTCCAGACAATTCTTCAACTTGTTTACAAATATTTTCTGTATTTAAGTTGAAAAGGCTTGGAGATAACACACATCCTTGATGTTAGTTGCGTGTCCTTTAGCTTGACCGTTGTGGTTTTTCTAAGCAAATGTTTACGCTCAGTAGACGCTGACTGACAGTGTGTTTCACTATGATAATTCAAGGCACATGTATATTACCATTGTAATAATGAAGTTGCATAATAAAATGAATGAATGAAAGAGTGATTGAATCAATCAGTCAATCAATCAATCAATCAGTAATAGACATCACTGCACTCAGGACATTTCCAGGTGTGTTCCATCTCCTTCCTCAATAGCCAACAAAAAGTTTACATGCTAAAAGTACATAAAGCTAGTAGTTCCATAAGTCAGTAGAATGTGTGACTTTCAATACCAACAGAACTGCACAACGAGGGACTAACACCCGGTGACACAGTTCCATTCGGATGAGAATCCCATAGGCACAAGTCCCAGAAACCCTGTTCAATCGTTAGGTCATATTAGGGCCCCTAGCAATAGCTATCTTGTGGCTTTTAAAAAACAAACCATTTTGTTCTATATTGGAATGGGGTTTCACTAATAACTAAGTAATATTTTGTTTGTTTTTACTAATTAAGTAATATCATTTTTCAACAGAACAAGACACAAATAATAACCATATCAATGATGATGTGGCCAACGATAGTGAGCAGCCAGATGACACTGATGTCAAAGATGATCAAGAACCAGGTATAGACTTCTGCTGGTCTATGTATTTGCTCGCTTCACTGTAGGCAACCATTAGTCCCTGGGGACCATGGAGTTGTGCCACTTGTTTTAGGAAAAAAATGCAGTCCAATGCAGGAATGCCAGTCTCTGCCACACAGTTTGCATAAGAACATTGATACTCTGTTGTTAAGAAGCTGGTTTTCTCTCAGATGTCTCCCCTCTATAGTTTGCTGCATTTGAATAACACAAGTTATAAAAGAGATTATGGGAACCCATAGATTAGAAGCAAAGATTGAAAATGGAAAATTACTCACCAATTTTTTGTGCAGAGAACCAGTATGTTATTGGCAGAAGCATTTCCCCACATTACATAATATACAAGGAAACATGAGAATCACCAAACCAAAAGATACCTAATCAAATTTATCATAGGTGTGCAAATATGTATATCATCCTTGTATGATTTTATATATATACAACATCTCATAATCATCAATCAATCAATCAATCCTCATCATGCCTAAGACAGAGACGAACTGCCGCCACACAGTTCGATCCTAAGCCACCCTCACTATCTACAGTTTTTTTCTTTGCGTAGCCATGAGTTCAGCCTCAAAGGTTCCCCTCCAAGTGTCTCTGGGCCTGCCTCTTCCTGGCTGTCCTTGTGATGTCCATTTCATTGCCTGTCTCTTTTTCTTCATTCTGACTTATAATCATAGAAACCAGTATAATGTAGGTCATCTCAGGAATAAAGAAGTTTACAACTTGTCAGTTACAGTCTCAAAAAAGTGCCAGTGTTGCAGCAGTTAGCTGAAGAGTTAAGCACTAAAGTCTGCTTGGAAAAGGTATTTGGAATTAATCTTGTGTAGAAGTCCACGGTAAAATAGAACAGAAACATAAAACGTGGATAATGGCTGAAACCCTTTAACAAATCAAAGAAAAGAACAGCAAAAAGGCAGACATAAACAATAGTAAAACTATAGAAAGAGGAAATTAGGAAAGCTATCAATCTACTGATGAAAGTGAAGGCTGCTGATCTGGATGGTATCCCAGAAGAATTTATTAACTCCTATATAAACACATTTATGTTGCTGACATTCTCTTCCTTTCTTAAATTCTGTATGAAAAATGTTTGTTAATTGAATGTATGTGTGTGTTTGTGGGAGGAAATTAAATGAATACAGTGCAGAAAAGAATGAGTGAAAATATAAGGTAGTCATGCCTAATTTAAAGACAAAATAGGAGAACTGACATTACATTTAATTTTTTTTAAAGTATTGCATAAGAAAACCCATATGTCCATTATTCTTTCTATTTAATCACAGAAGAATTTGAGGATAAACAGAGTGAAGACCTAGAACTTTATGATGGAGGTAAATATTCCAGTTGTAGTTTAATTTAGTTTTTTTTTTAAATGTTTTAAAATTATGGTAGTTGAGGGTTTGACAATACTAGATAAATATGCAGACATATGTAGGCAGTGTGTCTATGTGTGTATGTGAAAGCGGGGATACATATTAGAGTAAAAAGACTTGATTTTCTTGATATTTTTATGTTGATTGCCTCTTATTGTTGTATGAGTCATATATCACCTACCTCAAAATAATGCCACAGTGGATTACCATTGACTGCGTTCAGTTTATGTGTATCTTATTCTTTCATGGTGTGCTTGTGTACATCTTTGAATCACAGCCATGCCTAGCCCAGTTTTCTTATTATCGTTTGTAAACCACCCATAAAGAATGGCCTCTGAAACAGCATTTTCCATGTGGCTTCCAGAGTCCCATTGTGGGAAAAATAAGAATAGACCCAAAAAGCATGTCATAAGTGTCAACAATCTGGGAGCTTTCTTTGAAGTTGGAGTGAATCTGCCTGAGAGGCAGATTGCATTCAAATTAACCACATCTGTGA